GGGAAAGCATTCTCCAGAAAGTTCATGCTCACTGAACACCAGAGAACGCATACAGGAGAAAAACCTTATGAATGTGCTGAATGTGGCAAAGCCTTTCTCAAGAAATCACGGCTCAATATACATCAGAAAACACATACAGGAGAGAAACCGTATATATGTAGTGAATGTGGGAAAGGATTCATCCAGAAGGGAAATCTCATTGTACATCAGCGAATTCATACAGGTGAGAAACCTTATATATGCAACGAATGTGGAAAAGGCTTCATCCAGAAGACATGCCTCATAGCACATCAGAGATTTCACACAGGAAAGACTCCCTTTGTGTGCAGTGAATGTGGAAAATCCTGTTCCCAGAAGTCAGGTCTCATTAAACATCAAAGAATTCACACAGGGGAGAAACCCTTTGAATGCAGTGACTGTAGGAAAGCCTTCACCACGAAGCAAAAGCTCATTGTCCATCAAAGAACTCATACTGGAGAGAGACCCTATATTTGCAATGAGTGTGGGAAAGCTTTTGCCTACATGTCTTGTCTTGTTAAACATAAGAGAATACACACAAGAGAGAAACGTGGAGATTCAGTCAAGGTGGAGAACCCTCCCTCAGAGAGTCACAGCTCATCACAGACCAGTGTTGTCCTGCAGGAGAAAAACCTTGTTAATTCAGTGACTATGCAGGTGCCTTCTCTGCCTCCTCAGACATCCTTAAACATCAGTGGGCTTCTAGCAGACAGGAATGTGGTCATTGTGGGACAGCCTGTGGCCAGATGTGCACCCTCTGGAGGGTTTGCACAGGAGAGAAACCATATGAATGCAGTGAATGTGGTTGTGCCTTCAGTGGTCAATTATGTCTTATTTTATGTCACAGAAAACCAGTAGGAAAAAACTCAGGAGACATTCTGTGTGGAAAGGGGGTTGAGCAAAAATTTCTAGTTCATCTTATGTCTGAAAAGTACATACTGAGAGAAATTGTGTAAATGCTGAGACTGGGAACGCCTAATATCCTCATCCTCTTCAATAATTGCACTGATGCAGAGGCATAATGTGATGATAACCCAAACACATATCCATCAGTTGCTCTATTGTGTCAATTAAACGAATAAAGGAATCCTGAGTTCAACTAAGAGGTGGAAATATTAGGTGAATTTTTAAAAGGTATAATTTGTGTCTGGAATGTTGCTATGAATGAAAAACCAGGAATGGGCTAATATTGGATTGGTGGGATTTAAGGCATGTATATATCAATTCAGTTTCCCCAGGCCAGGGTGAAGCATTAATTGAAAACTGGGATGGCTACCATAACTCTTAGAAGTTCATGTTATGCAGAGGGACTTACAAAACAACAGCCTTAGATTGAATCCATTCATTCATTTCCTAAGTATTTGTCAAATACTTCCTTGTACTGGGTCCTGTTCCAGGAGCTGAGGATACAGTGGTGACCAAAACAGAGAAAGCCAATGGTTTCTTGAGGACAGCGTTGAGGTAGTCGGACTATCTTTAAGTGATACCTGTACACACCAGCTAACCTAGTGAGAGGATGTAAATAACTACACTAGGTAAAACAGACATTGTCTTAGTCTTTTCTTGTTGCTGTAAGAGAATACCATGGGTGGTGTATAAAGGCAAAAATTTGCTTCTCACAGTTCTGGAAGCTGTGAAGTCCAAGATCAAGGTGCCAGCAGATTCGGTCTATTGAGGGCCTGTGTCTTGGTTCATAGAGGATAGTCATCTTGCTGTGTCCTCACATAGGGGAAGGGGCAAGGGAGCTCTCTGGGACATCTTTTATAAGGGCACTAATCCTATTCACGAGGGCTCCACTCTCATGACCTAATTACCTCTCACGTGTCCCACTTCTTAATACAATCAGATTTGGGATTAGGCTTCAGCGTATGAATTTTGGGGGGACACATTCAGTCCATAGCAGATAGGGAGTAACGTTCAGGGGGCTGTGATAATTTCTTGTTCAAGGGGTATATTATTTTGAGGGTGGGCAAGGACTCCTCTTAATGGACTTTAAGCACCTTTGTATACATGTAAGTTATTTTTTTAATGCCCATGTCTTATCTTTCCAAGTAGATTAAAAATTCTTTGATAATTTTTTGCTATTTAAATTTTAAAGTTTTTACAACAAAATAAAAAATCAGTTCCTCAGTTGCACTAAACCCCATGCCAAGTCCTCATTAGTAATATGTGACTAGTGGCTACCTCATTAGACAGCAGACGATGAGCAAACTTAGCTAACTATATGGCTGAAAGGTATGTATGCAGTGAGAGAAATTTGTCCTCATTTCCATCAGCCCAGAAAGTTACACTGGAAAGCACTGATTTACATGGTTTTCTATTTCTCAGCACAGAAAAATAAAAACAAATTAGATACTGATTTGAAAAGTGAATGAAGGAGCTATTGGACTCTGAGAGTAACTTGTCATTGAAGGGAACGAGCCATTGGAAGGCAGTTCTAAAGAACACAGTTGTTTCCCTCCCAATTGTGTGTAATTAGAGACTCAGTGACTGCATGCAGGCTGGGCAGAGCAGAAAAGAAAAAGGATCCTCAGAGTAAATAGAATAAAAGGAAGACAAGAATCTTAGTCTCTAGGAATGGAGGCGAGTATAGAGATGGGAGTTGAGATCCTAAGGGATGTCGTGGAGAAGAATCTTTGTATTTGTCCATAGGACTCACCCTTACCGGCTGTCGCCATTTCAAAGATTGCAGCTCCAGTTAGCTGTTGAATTGAGACGTGCTTTCTCTTCATTATTCCCTCCCTCTCCTGGGAGTGGGGCTCTTGACTTTTCTCTATCCACAGTTCTTGCCCTTAATCTCCTAACTATCTCATAGTTATCCCCCTATCCAAGTTTCAAACAGTGAATCTTACTCATAGGAAGAGAATTGGAAATTTGCCATTCTGTAGCTGTCTCAGAATTCAACCTGAAATGCTGGGTTATTGGACAACTCATTCCTTTAGATGTATTTTAAAGCACCATCACCGTGCAAGGCGCTGCGTTACACGCTGAGGATACGTCAATGAACAAAACGGGCCAAGGGACGGTCTATGGAGTTTACACTCTAGTGAGGGAGAGAGACAGTACATGGATCACACAATGTCAGGAAGTGATAAGTCCTATGAAGAAAAATAAGGCCTAGTAATAGTAATTTATGTGTAGTAATGGGGGAGGCTTTATTTCCATTCCCCTCTCCCCTTCATAGGCTTTTCAGGATATAGTTTGAACCAAGACCGAAGTACTAAGGGGAGGCACCCATCATATTTGTAATCAGAGAATATTCCAGGATTGTTTCTAAAGATTGTCTGGGACAGACTTCTTGCCTCCGATTCTCTGAGAAACTTAAAAGAATGCAAATTCCGGAGTCACACCTGTCGAGTGAAATAGTCTAGATGATAAAAGTGAAGGAGTTTATTCAATAATCAGCGTGAGGAATTTGAACCCCAGGAGAACAGTTCAACAGAGGGCTCTGATGGAACTGCTCCGAGGTGTGTGAGTTTTAAGTGCAGCTTATGTCTCTTGCACAAAACAGTGCACGTGAGGGGAAGAGGAAAAGAGAAAAAGCATTAAACTAGATATCATATATGTAAAAAAAAAAAAAAGGATAGAGTACATCTGGGCTTTCCTCTACGTTATCCATTGAAGGCAACATAAACAAGAATTTCTTGGTTATACATCAAACAAGTTCAGAGGCTGACGTTATGTGTGTGGAGGGAGGCAGGGACCAGGGTCGTTAATTTGTCCCTCCATCTCTAAGACATGCGGTTGGGAAATGTGAGAGTGAGGTACCCCTTTCTCTCTTCCTGTTGTGCATCTGTCCAGCTGACATCTTCAGTCGTGAGGTGTGGGGGTTGCAAGGTCATTTGACACAGGCTGAAGCTGGCCCGCACGGCTGCTTCACAGCACAGCCTGGATTTTATTGTACTGATTAAAAGCTTCTGCAGTTTCTTGCTACATTCGCCTGTTAGATCAGGGAGAGGGGTCCCCAAATCTGTCCACACATCTCACACCTCCTAAACCAGAACCTCTGGAGCTGGAAAAGAGGACTCTGCATTTTTTATTTTATTTTATTAATGTTATGATAGATTACAACCTTGTGAGATTTCAGTTGTACATTATTGTTAGTCATGTTGTGGGTACACCTCTTCCCCCTTTATGCCCTCCTCCCACCGCCCCTTTTCCCTGGTAACCACCGATCAGATCTTGTCAATATGTTAACTTCCACCTATGAGTGGAGTCATATAGAGTTCGTCTTTCTCTGACTGGCTTATTTCGCTTAACATAATACCCTCGAGGTCCATCCACATTGCTGTGAATGGGCCAATTTTGTCTTTTTTTATGGCTGAGTAGTATTCCATTGTGTATATATACACCATATCTTCTTTATCCAATCATCTGTTTCTGGGCATGTAGGTTGGTTCCACGTCTTGGCTATTGTAAATAATGCTGCGATGAACATAGGGGTGCAACGGACTCTTAGGATTTCTGATTTCAGGTTCTTAGGATAGATACCCAGTAATGGGATGGCTGGGTCATAGGGTATTTCTATTCTTAACTTTTTGAGAAATCTCCATACTGTTTTCCATAGTGGCTGTACCAGTTTGCATTCCCACCAACAGTGTATGAGGGTTCCTTTTTCTCCACAACCTCTCCAACATTTGTCGCTCTTGGTTTTGGATGTTTTTGCCAATCTAATGGGTGAGGACTCTGCATTTGTAATGGCCTGATGCACACCTATTTTTGAGCATATTTGCCATAAACCCTGGATTACTGTCCCCATCACCACCTCCATATAATAATGGGATGGGTTGTAGCTGTGCCCTTCCCATTGACTCCAGACTTTTACTGAGCTCACTTTTAGTGGCCTTTTCCTGAGTCCCCACCCCAGTCACAACTTAGGCTCGTTCCAGCCGCTCTTTTCCCCTAGTTGGCGACGGCCAGCCTCACACCATACCAGTTTCTGGAAATCTTTTTCTGTTGTTAAAAACAGCTTCCTGCAAACTAGTTTCCACCCAGAAGGCTTCTCATGGCTGTCCGTTTAAGGGATGTATTATCTTTTCCCTTTTAGGAGTGTGTTCTCAGCTGCTACACCAGCAACTGCACTCCTACTTGTCCGTTTGAAAACTTTTTCTTCTGACTGCAGAGTGGATAACATGCGCCACGGCCATATTACTTCTCCGCGGAGCCCGCTCAAAGGAACTTAGCCCGCTTCATATTCGCCTTGTAAAGCTCAAGACTCTGAAAATGTAGCCATTTCTGCAAAAGTCCAACTGCCAGAAAATGAGACAATTCTAGCGACTTCTCACCTTCCGGCCAACCCCGGCTACTGGCGGCAAATCCAGCCGCTTGCCTCCTGTACGTCAGGTGTCCCAACATGGCCGCCCCCATGTGACGGCGAGCTGGGCGCGGACATATTGCCTCCGAGGGACAAGAGGGAAATCCACTAGTCCGCGTTACTTCAAATACTTAAGACCCACATCGGCTGCCGTAGACGGAGCCGACAGGGGCGACCGGTCCAGAAGTCCGAACAGTTTACGGAAGTACAACGCTTAGACTCTCCTACTGGGTCTGGGGAAACAGGTCAGTATGTGGTTTTATCGCTGGAAGTTTGTTGTCACAGTGGGGGCTTTGTTTCTCACAGATTGACGTTTGGGCTTGGTGTAGTATGGTCCCGTGGACTTATTGCCGGGCACGGGGGGAGGGTGGAGGCGCCGAGGTGGAGGCATTTCAGGGGACCCGATGGGAACTTGATTTGAGGTATTTGAGGAGAACTGGACGCGTCTGTGTGTGGTCGGCGTGCCCTGGGCGTCCGTACAACGATTAAGATTCTCTGGAGATCAACGCCCTTGTCCCGACGGTCAGGCTGTGGGGTTCTGCGATCACCCCGCTTGTAGGGAATGTGGGTGGTGTTCACAATGATCGCAGTGTCTGGTGCAGGTTGGGGATTTAATATGGGGCTCAGTGATGCTGGGGTCGGGGTGTCTGGTCCACGTTTCGGATTGATACAAGGTGTGTGGTCAGTGTCTGCGGCACAGACAGGTTGTGAGGGCTAAAGCTGTGCACGCGTAGGACCCCCGGCTGGTGGTTGGGTTGAAGTTCCAACTTCGGCGGCGGGGACAGGAGGAGGTACCTCCCAGGGCAGTAGTTCGAAAGCATCTCTTTTTCAGCCTTTAATTCAGGAGTTGACTGACTACAGATCGAGGGACTAAAGGAGCAACGCACGTCCGTTATGTATCGTCTATGGCTGCTTTCGCCCTTCAAAGGCAGAAGTGAGTCTTTGGCCCGCAAAGTCGAAAATGTGTACCTGTCTCTTTGCAGAAAATGCTTGCCAACGCCTGCGCGCACCTCTTAATATATGGTAGTGGGCTCTGTTGCTTATTTGTCTGACATCAACACATTTTCTTCTTTGTTAGCAGAATTTCCGTTTTGTTAAGTATTCATCCCTCCGGCAGTGACCCATATCCTAGTTTGTTAGTGAGTCCGAGTTGGTCGTAGTCATTCCTGCTGGTTCCAGTTCCCGCTGCTAGTGACTGACTTGCTGTGGAATGAGCTTAGGTATATGGTGCAGTCCTAGCCAGTTATGTATGTGAAAGTCTGCTTGGCGGTTTCTGGAGGAGCATTTTCTCTTTTAAATAAGAAATTCCTTGAATCTTTTTTTCCATGTCGATGATGATACTGTTTGAATATAACCTTAATTTTCTGTTCCATTGTCTAACGTTTATAACTTATTCTTGTCTCAATGCATTGGCTCACCTCTGCAAGAGAGTTGAAAAGTGGTGTGGTAGTGCACACCTTTGTCTTGTTGCCTACGTGTAAAATTCACCTGCTTTATTGTCTGGAGTTAACATGTTTTCAGGAGTGTTAATCCAGGATTTCAAATTTAACGACGTAAAGTTATTCATAGTATTCTTTCAGAGAAGAAAAAGTCAGGATTTTTATCTGAGTCATATCCCCCATTAATTCCTTATATTCTTTATTTGCACTTTCTCTTTTGCCTGTGTACATATTTATCTCACTATAAATATGTATGTATTACTGGTCTTTTCAAATAACAGGGTTTTGGTATTGTTGAGCTCTTTCATTTATTAATTTAAAAGATCTGCAAGTTCATCAGTATAAAAGCAATATATCTATGAATAGTCATTGCTCAGGTCAAGAAATGGAACATTGCCAGCGCACCAGTGGTGCTCTGTCTCTTCCCAATTATATGACATCCTCACGCCCACAGGTAATTACCATCCTGCTCTCCATACCAAGCACTTTAAGGCTTTTCTTTATAGTTTTATCGTATAATTAATTTCTCATCATTATATTTTATTTAGTTGTGCCTATTTTTAACTATGTATCAATGTCATTATACATCATGCATTTTTTTTGGTCACCATGTATTTTATTATTTCTCCTATGCATTCTACACTGTCATCATGCATGTTTTTATGTCAGGCTGCTTTTGCTCAATAATTCTAAGAATCATTGATGTTTTTGCACATAGGTGTCTTTTTTTTTGCTCTGTAACATGGGTCAGGCAAACCTATTCTATAATGTTTACACAGTAAATATTTTAGGAGTTGTAGGCCACAGGAGGTTTCTCACATATGCCTCTTTGTTTTTGTTTTACAAGCCTTTAAAAATGTAAAAAGCATTCTTAGCCTGCAAGCTGGGCAGAGGGTGTAGTTTCTTCATAGCGTTCCATTTCAATATATGTCAGTTTTTCCTACTATTTGTTAAATGTGTAGTGTTTGTACTTTGGCTTATTATGAGTAATACTGCTGTGAAAATTCTTGTCCATGTGTTCTGGTTCAAATGTGCCCTATATTTGGAGGGATATATATCTTAGCTGTGTGTTTCACAGTGAAATTGCTTCCGGGTTGGTGAACGTGTGGCGATGTAGTCAGAGTGGCCCGCCTGGAGAGGGCGTGGAAGCTCCCCACCCTTTCCGCATGCCTTGCCCTATGGATCTCTTCCATCTGGCTGTTCCTGAGTTATATCCTTTTATAATAAGTAAATACAGTGAGTAAAATGTTTCTCTGAGTTCTGTGAGGTGCTCTAGCCATGCCCTATGGATCTCTTCCATCTGGCTGTTCCTGAGTTATATCCTTTTATAATAAGTAAATACAGTGAGTAAAATGTTTCTCTGAGTCCTGTGAGGTGCTCTAGCCAATCAGTCAACTCAAGGAGGGGGTTGTTGGAACCTCCATTCTGTAGCTGATTGGTTCAGAAGCACAGGTGACAACCTGGGCTTGTGTTTGTGTCTGAGGTAGGAAGTGGGGGGCAGTCTTGTAGGACTGAGCTCTTACCCTGTGGGAGCCGACCCTCCCTCAAGGTAGATAGTGTCCGAAATGAGTTGAATTGTAGGGTACCCAGCTGGTGTTGCAGAATTGCTTGGTGGTTTGTTAAAAAAAACACACACATTTTAATTGATAGCAGAATGGTACCTTCTTGTGGCTGAGTTTCTTATTATTACATTTCCTTCTTCTGCTAGCACTGCAAATTAATACTTCAAGAAAATTATTAGTTTTCATCATGACAATAGAGATTACATATAGCATGGAATCTTACTTTGTCAAGTTCTTATGTTAATTAGTACTTTTACATTCTTCTCTGACAATACAGGGATCTTGGAGCACTTCAGCTTCATTCACCATCTACTTCTAATTTATATACTATTATTGTGTATTTTAGTTTTTTATGTACTTAAAACCTCCTAAGATATTATCATTATTGCTTATAAGATTTGCCCAGTTCCTTGGTTTTCAAACTGAAATGTGTGAACTCACGAGGTGTACAAAAATGTTTGAAGAGGCCCCTGAGCACACATGGTTTATTTTTTTAATTTATTTTTAATTTATTTATTTATTTTTATTTTTTTTTCCTGCTTTTTTTTTTCCTCCCCAAAGCCCCCCAGTACATAGTTGTATACTTTAGTTGTGGGTCCTTCCGGCCACAGCATGTAGGACACCGCCCCAACGTGGCCTAATGAGCGGTGCCACGACTGCGCCCAGGATCCGAACCGGCGAAACCCTGGGCTGCCGCAGCAGAGTGCTCAAACTCAACCACTGTGCCATGGGGCTGGCCTGCACACGTGGTTTAAAGGAAACAGTGCCCAGATCCTCTCCTTCCAGATGGTGTGTTTTGTATAATTGATGTGCCTGAGATTCACCTGCTCCTGAGGCATGGCGCTGGGGTGGATCTCATTTCCCTTGTCTGCCTTCAGTCACCCCACTTAAACTTCACAGATAAAGGCTACCTCCACCACATTCAGAACCTTAGGCTTTATTGGTCAGAAGTATAAAATCTCCTGGGTACCAAATAAAGGGACACTTAGCAATACTGTGGTTGTTGTGTGGAGGTGCGTGCTCAGGAGCAGTGAGGCGTCTGGGCCCAGAGGAAATGCACCACTCAGACTGAATTTTCTCCTCAGCCCACAGGTCCTGACTCCCCAGGAGGAAGAGAATCATGTGAAGGAGGAAGAAGTTACAGGATTTGGTATCAGTATTTCTGGGGACTCACTTGACTGAGGACTGAGATTTCTGAACAGGAATTCAGAGCAGATCCGGAAGACAAAGACAGAGCCTCTACACTGCCAGCTATTTTCAGAGAAGGGGAGAAAATGATCGAGGCCCAGGTGACTTTTGGTTTATTTTATTCTTTCCTTTGTTCCGTAGTGGATTTTTAGAGCCCTGTCACAAATCACTTCCCTTAATCTGAAAAGTATGCATAAATAGATCTTTTGTCTGTCATATGTATATGAATCCGGTGTTTCTAGGTTAACAAGATTTAACTTCTACACATTGTAGAAACTTCTCATTGATGAATGGATGGATGACTGCACAATTACAGAATATTTTATTAGGCATTTGCTTCTTCAATGATATATTAAGATAAAAACCCCACTGGATATCTAGATGCAACCTATAAAGTGGAAATAAGCAGAAAACTTTAACATTTCTTCCATATCATCAAAAGGACATCACTTCATTAAGAAGCACTGTTATTACAGGAACCCCTGACATTTGACGATGTGGCTGTGGACTTCACCAGGGAGGAGTGGCAGCTCCTGGCCCCTGCTCAGAAGGACCTGTACTGGGACGTGATGTTGGAGAACTATAGCAACCTGGTGTCTGTGGGTGAGGACAGCTCCCCTGTGTCACTCAGAGGGTCCCCAGTCAGTGGTGTTTCCATTCTCAGCCTCTGAAAGCTCTGGAGTGTCTGTGGTGCTCTGAAGTGGTAGATGCTTAGTCCCCTCCCTGGCCCTGAGAAGTGGGTACATTCTCCTTTCTCCTGAGAGAAAGCCTTTACTTTGTAAGTGTGAAAATTCTTTTGTCTTCAAATACAACATTCTGCAGCATTCACAGACCCCAATCCCAATTCAGTGTGTCTAATTCTTCTGGTATTTCCCACCAACAGGTTATCAAGCCAGCAGACCACACGCACTCTCCAGGTTGGTGCAAGGAGAACCACCATGGACAATGGAAGATGAAATCCACTGTCGAACCCATTCAGGTGAGTGAGAGAACCCGCAAGGGGCAGGCTGTGGACATCACATTCTGGTGGTTCAGAGAAGAGTCACAGCGGTGAAGGGGGTTTGAGGATAGGTCACCAGTCCTCCCCCTGTGTCTCTCCTGTGTGAGTCCTCTTTTTCTTTGTAGGAGTTTATCCCTTTATCTCTTCTGGGATCTGTTCCTTCTTTATCTACATCTTGATTTTTTGTTTGTTTGCATACTTTCTTCTTCCTAGGATTCTAGAATGTTTCCCTTCTTCCTCATACTCTCCTACCTCCTTGCTATGAAATTCCACCTTCCAAGGCCTTTCTCCAGAGAAAACTTTGAATTCCTCACTGTCTTCTGACTATTGCACCTTTCTGCCCCATTGCTAATGTTCATTTCCCTTCCTAACATCCACTCCATCTTGGATGCTGTGCCCCCAAAGTAAACTGATCTTCACTGTGCCTTTGTCCTAACTGAGGTTCTCCAAAGGTTCTGTTTTCCATTTCCTCATCAATTTCCTAACCCTTCAGAGTTTTCTTCATTCTATTAAGCTAAGCTCCTTCTCTTCACTGGAGAAGACTCCCAAATGGCCATCTCCCCAACATCATCCACCACAGACTTTAGGTCTATGTAATTTACTCATGTTGATGGCAACTCTCCTGAGTTCCCAGTAACTGCAAGGATCTAGAATCATCTTTCTCCCTGGAAAACCCTCGTTAAGTTTAGGTTCTCCTTTACTCCTGTGTATCTTACATCTTGGCCGTCCAGTCATTATCTCAAATGTTCCCCACCTGCAGAGCTTCCTTCTTTAAAGGGCTCTGCTGTTCATGATGTATTTTAACCAGAAAAGAGATTTTAACATCCTACATTCTCAGTTCCAGCCTAAACCAGATCGTCACTCTTGCCTACTTTGAATTAATTCCTTTGTGTATTTAAGGAATTGTGTAGTAATCTCAGTAAGCTGATCTTTCCTCTAGTTTCTCGTAGATGTTACCATTGTGTTCGTTTTTTGAGAGCTTTCATTTTTATCCCATGATCTTCTGATGACATTAAGTCCCAGTTAACCACATTGCTGTAATATAACATGAAATTGTTTTAGTGATCTCTGTGATAGAGTATTATCTTGTTCACACAGATGTTCATCCTCTCTCCTAAATTCCCCAACTTGTTCCATACATGTGATTGCTTACTTGATTCATTCCTTTATAAATTATTTTTTGACAGCCTAGTGTATGCTAGAGGGCAAGAGCAGGGAGAAAAAGCATACAAATGGACCAAGAGCTTTCATTCTAAGAGGAGACATAAAATTAATAAAAAGTAATCTATGGGGGTGATGAAATTAAGTCAGTGTAATTGTAACAGTAGGGGCTGGGGCTGGGGCTGGGGCTGCTCTTTATGGAAAGGGAACACCTCTCTGAGTGTAGGTTGTAAGTCTAGGCTGTAGATGTGCCTGGAGCTCTCTGCTGTGTCACTATCTGCACTCCCCCCATGCTGATCTCAACACTGGATCCACCAGTGATGCCTCGCGTCCTCCAAAATGTTACTTATTTCCTCCTCCTCTCCCCATTTCCATTGCTCGTTCCCAGCAATTTTCACAACCTGTTTTCCTTGTGCTCTCTTTGCCCTTTGAATATTTTTACCAAACTGCAGTGCAGGCTCTGTAAACGTGAGGAATAGGCTTGTGTATCCCCAACGCCGGCAGTATGCCTGGTACATGCAGTCATCAGTAAGGATGTGTGCAATGAATGAGTGTGTCCCTCACCAGTTTGGATGAGGTGGCCCTCCAACCTGTGGTGTGCCGCTCACAGTGAACTGCTTGTATTTTACAGGCTCTGCATGTTTTGCAAGGCCTTGTTTGGAAAGCAGCCCAATTTGTATTTATTCATTATTACTGCTTTTTCCAATGTACAAGGAACATTAAACAGGAAGTTTTATTTACACGCATAGGGTCATCACTATAAAGACACTTCACATCAAGGTATTTTTAAAAATACCTTTATTCAAGAATAATTCATTGTTTTCTTTCCTAGAAATCTGGAAACTTGACGATCATGTGCCAGAACACTTACAAAAAGAAAGTATGGAGGATAGACTGGAACAATGGCATGAACGTGACACACTTGAAAATTCTCTTCATAAGAGCAGAACTCATTTGGTGTTAAGGCAAAATCATGACCTAGTTGACGTACAGGGAAAAAGTATGAAATCAAATTTAACTTTACTTAACCAGAGCAGAAGCTATGAAACAAAGAGCTCTGCGGAGCTTACTGGAGATGGGAAATCCTTTCTCCATGCTAACAATGAACAGTTTCATACTGACACTAAATTCCCTGAGAGCCAAAAACTCGTCAGCACTAAGTGTCAATTCATTAAGTATCAGAAAACTCAAAAAATAAAGAAACCTCATGTATGCAGTGAATGTGGGAAAGCTTTTATCAAGAAGTCTTGGCTTACTGATCACCAGAATCTTCATACAGGAGAGAAACCCCATCAGTGTAGTCTGTGTGGGAAAGCATTCTCCAGAAGGTTCTTGCTCACTGAACACCTGAGAATGCATACAGGAGAAAAACCTTATGAATGCACTGAATGTGGCAAAGCCTTTCTCAAGAAATCACGGCTCAATATACATCAGAAAACTCACACAGGAGAGAAACCCTTTATATGCAGTGAATGTGGGAAAGGATTTATCCAGAAGGGAAATCTCATGGTACATCTCCGGATTCATACAGGTGAGAAACCTTATAAATGCAATGAATGTGGAAAAGGATTCAGCCAGAAGACATGCCTCATAGCACATCAGAGATTTCACACAGGAAAGACTCCCTTTGTGTGCAGTGAATGTGGAAAATCCTGTTCCCAGAAGACAGGTCTCATTAAACATCAAAGAATTCACACAGGGGAGAAACCCTTTGAATGCAGTGACTGTGGGAAAGCCTTTATCGGGAAGTCACAGCTTGTTATACATCAGAGAACTCATACAGGAGAGAAGCCCTATGGATGCAGTGAATGTGGGAAATCATTCAGAGGGAAGTCAGTCCTCAATAAACATCAGAAAATTCATTCAGTCAAGGTGGAGAATCCTTCCTCTGAGAGTCACAGGGTATCACAGACCAGTGTTGTCCTGCAGGAGAAAAACTTTGTTAATATGGTGACTATGCAAGTGCCTTCTGTGGTCCCTCAGACATCATTAAACATCAGTGGGCTCCTAGCAGACAGGAATGTAGTCATAATGGGACACCCTGTGGCCAGATGTGCACCGTCAGGAGGGTTTGCACAGGAGAGAACCCTTATGAATGCAGTGAATGTGCTTGCGCCTTCAGTGATCAATTACGTCTTATTTTATGTCATGGAAAACCAGTAGGAAAAAACTCAGAGACATCTGGTGTAGAAAAAGGTTGAGCAAAAATTTCTAGCTCATATTATGGCTAAAACATATCTACTGAGAGAAACTGTATAAATGCTGAGACTAAGAACACCTGACATCCTCATCCTCTCCAATAAATGCATTGATACAGAGGCATAATCTGATGCTAACCCAAACACATATCCATCAATAGCTCTATTGTGTCAGTTCAACTAAGTGGAGGAAATAAGTGAATTCTTAAAACATATAAGATAATTTATATCTAGAATGTTGCTATGAATGAAAAACCAGCAAAGGGCTAATATTGGATGGTGGGATATAAGGCATGTATATATTAATTCATTTTCCCCAGGCAAAAGTGAAGCATTAATTGAAAACTTAGGCTGGCCACCATAAACTCTTAGAAGTTTATATTATGCAGAGGGACTTATGAAACAACAGCCTTAGATTGACTCAATCGTTCATTTACCGAGTATTTGTCAATTACTTCCTTTGTACCTGGTTGTGTGCTGGGAGCTAAGGATAGAGTGGTGATCAAAACAGAAAAAGCCTATGGTCTCCTAGAGAGAGCACTGAGGTAGTCAGATTATCATTGAGTGGTATCACTACACTGCAACTAATCTAGTGAGAGGATGTTAATATCTGTATTAAGTGAAATGGACATGGAGTAATTGGTTCAAAGGAATATGACAGTTTATTATTGAAGGAGCATATTATTTGGGACGATTTGAGAAGGACTCTTCCTAATGGTAGTTAATCACCATAGAACACAAGTTATTATTATTATTTTTAAAGATTTTATTTTTTCCTTTTTCTCCCCAAAGCCCCCCAGTACATAGTTGTATATTCTTTGTTGTGGGTCCTTCTAGTTGTGGCATGTGGGACGCTGCCTCAGCGTGGTTTAATGAGCAGTGCCATGTCCGCACCCAGGATTCGAACCAACGAAACACTGGGCCGCCTGCAGCGGAGCGCGCAAACTTAACCACTCAGCCACGGGGCCAGCCCCAACACAAGTTATTTTTTAAATGTACATTTCTTATCTCCACAAGGAGATTATAAAATCCTTAATTTTATCACTTTACTTAACTTTTAATGTTTAAAAAAATTGAAAAGCAGTAAGATGACAAATCAGTCTCTCCTCAGTGGCACCGGCCATATTTCAAGTGCTCAACAGTCATGTATGACTAGTGGCTACAGAATTGGACAGCGCAATGAGCCAAACAGTGGGACAATGAGAGAGAGCTCTATCATCATTTTCATTATACCAGGAAGTTCTATTGGAGAGTGCTGGTTTCCATGATTTTCTATTTTCCATCACATAGGAAAAATCCTAGTTATATAGAGATTTGGAAAGTGAATGAATGAACTAATGGGCTAATCAAAGTGTATCTTGTCATTGAAGGGAAAGATGGTTCTAAAGAACAGAATTGTCATCCGAAAAGGTTTTTGTTTGGGATCAGATAGACTTAATAACTGATTATAAAGGGACAAGGCAGAAAAGGAAACTGATTCCTAGAGTAAACAGAACAAAAAGCAACATGAGAAGCTCTGGAGAGTACAGGAAGTGGGAGGAGGTGAGATCTTTTTGGAATGTCTTGGAGTTGAATTCTTTTTTTTTTTTTGAGGAAAATTAGCCCCAAGCTAACTGCTGCCAATCCTCCTTTTTTTTTTTGCTGAGGAAGACTGGCCCTGAGCTAACATCAGTGCCCATCTTCCTCTACTTTATATGTGGGACGCCTACCACAGCATGGCCTGTCAAGCAGTGCCATGTCTGCACCTGGGATCTGAACTGGTGAACCCCGGGCCGCCAAAGCGGAACATGTGCATTTAACCACTGCACCACCAGGCTTGCCCCTGGAGTTGAATTCTTAAATTTGTCCACAGGCCTGTCACCTGTGAGAGTGGCTGTTTAAAGATCCCGGATTCTCTGTGACTTGCTGAGTTGAGACATACAACTTCTGTCTCCCTCATTCCTTCCCACCGTCCTAGGAGTGGCGTCTTCGCCTTCTCCTTTATCCAGAGTTTTTTCCCATGATCCCATGAAGATATGATACCCCAGTTACAAACAGTGAGTCCTACTCATAGGAATAGAAATGGAAATTTGCCATGTTGTGGCTGTCTCAGAATTCACTTGCAATCCTGGGTTTGGGTAATTTACTCCTCCAGAAATATTTTAAAGCACCATCACTATGCGAGGCACTTTATTACTCACTGAGGATACACCGGTGAACAAAACAGCGAAGGAAGAGCATTTACGGAGTTTACAGTCTAGAGAGGGAGAGAGACAGTAAATGGATTACATAGTATCAGGAAGTGGTAAGTCTTATGAAGGAAAATAAGGCCTAGTAATAGATAGTAATTTATAGTAATCTGTAGGTAGTAATGGGAGATTACACCCTCCCCAAGGGAAGGCTTTTCCGGATATAATTTGAGCCAAGAACAAAGTACAGAGGGGAGTCACCCATCATAATCATAATCAGAGAACATTCCAGGACTGTTCCTAATGATTTTCTATGATATGTTTCCTGCCTCAGGTTCTCTGGGAAACTTAGAAGAATGCAAATTCCTGAGTCATACCTCTCACCTCCTAAACCAGAACCTCTGGGACGAGTCTAGGACTGTGCATTTTTAACAATGGCCTCATGCACCCCTAATTTTGAACCTATTCACCCTAAATCCTGGAATATGTCCCCATCACCACTCTCACATTATAATGATATGGATTCAAGACAGATACTCTCCAGCAAAGAATCAGCCATGAGTGCTCCAGTAACCAGACCCTCTGATGTCCACTTCCGGCCACGGCAAGGTCAGGTTGGCTCACTGGTGGAACTGCTCAGTCCCTGAGCCTTGAGGGCCGAGTGCTGAGCTCCCTTTTCAGAGCCTGACATCCCCAGGTGAACAAGGCCTCGTGTACACCTAAGCCTGCTACCACACTCAGGTTCCTTATGGTTCCAATAAAGATCACCCTTCGCCTTGAATAGTGGGTCCTGATGTCACACTCCCTGATTTGAATCCTGCCCTGCTGGCCCAAGCTATGTGCCTTTGAGCAAGTTACTTAACTCACCTATGTCTCAGTTTATCTGTAAAATCATATCTGCCTCACAGGTTTGTCGTGGGAAGTAGATGTAGTTAAAACAGTGCCTGCGAAACAGGTAGTTAAGAAAAGTATTATCAGTCCTGGTAAGGAAGGAGTCCCTCTTTCCTCCCATCTTCTGGGTCTCTCCATCCTTCATCGTCAATGAAGACTTCTTCAGTGAAGCTTTCCCTCACTAGGCCAAATTCCCCAATTTCTGGCCCTCCACAGAACCATGTTCCTCTCCTTTTAATCGCTTTATTGACTTGCAGTTTTATATTTCCTGTATTTAGATGTGTATTCCCCATCTGGATTTGACTGAAATCGTTTGAATTGGTCACAACAACAGGTCAACCTATTGTTGAATAGGTCACATAGGCATGTGGTTCAAAACTTAAAACTGTATAAAAAGGTGCATTTATGAGTCTTACTCTTAGCCTGTTCTCAGTCCTCAGCCCCAGTTTTCCCTTGACCATCTGCCTCCTACAGGTAAACTTGTTGATTGTGAGTCCTTCCAGTATTTCTTTTGTCAATACAAGCAAGTAGATATTTATTTTTTCTCCCTTTTCTTTTCAAAAAGCAGCACACTATATCCACTCTCTTGTACCTCTGCTGTATTTAATTATCGCCGAGCAGCAGCATAGCACCTAGCAGGGAACTGAGGAAGAGAAGACTATCCTGTAAGCCAAATTCAGGTACTCATTTAATAGTCCATTATTGAAGCCTTCTGTGCAAGTTTTTGTTCTGAGCACTGGGGATACAAAAATATTGCAGAGTTTCTGTCTGAGGAACTCATAGTCCATTTTGGAGGGCACTCAAGTCAGCAGAGAATGATGGTCTAGGAAGACAAATGATCTTCAGTCATCCCTGTACAGAGATGCTTCTCTATATCCTCTATTGGATGCTTTCTATACTTCCTATCCTTAGCACCACTTATTATAGTTGCAATTTTATATTTAAGAATTATATTACTGTAATTGAGACCGACCCGGAAGGTATTCCAGAATGCTATCTGAAAAAGTGGCCTCTAAAATGACTCATGAAAGAACGGTTAGAGTATCTAATATTCTCTCATTGCTTCCTTGTGCCAAGCAGTTCAAGGAAGGGAAAGTATTTGCAAATTCCTGGGAGCATGTGACACTGCAGGCATTTGGAGAGGACAGAATAATGGAAGATGATAAGGGAGAATCTGTTTTGTGTTTGCTTGTGTACAGCCTTAAAAGCATTCTCTTGAGATCTGGTTCTAGTCTGTAATTAATAAACGAATTCAGGGTTTGATGGAGGGTATAAAAAATAAAGATGGTTGTGGTATAGAAAAAAGGAGGTGGTTGGTGAGCCACCTCCTTGTAGGGGCCAGTGAAGTGGCATATTCAGTAGTAATTGAAATAAATGGACTAAAGCAATGAGGGTGGGTAGAGGGGCTGGTTCAGGAATTATTTTTACAGGAATGGGTGGCCAGTGTGACAGTGACACATAGGTTATGTTTTGGGTTGATCCTCTGACCTGTTCACATCAACCTCCAGTAACCTACAATCCAGATAACTCTCCATTCTTGATTTATTGTGTAATAGTGACTGCTAGGTGAGAAACAGAATAAAGGGAACGTCAGTCTGGAGGGGAAAAGGACTTCTACTTTTAGAGTTGCTGAGTTTGAGGAGCTGTGGGAGTGGAGAAGGCACTACATTTTGGTGCTATGTTAATAAAATCTTTTCATTAGAATTTAGTGGATACAAACTTAGTGAAGATTCTCTCCATCTCCATGCCCAAACCCCAAATATGTTTTACTTAAGCCATTCAAAATTTTGAAATGCATATGTTTATGAATTTTTGCCATAAGAGGATCATATTACAAATACTGTTCTGGAGATCAATATTTCATCCTTTCAAGAAGTCACTTTTCAAAAATACTGGTGATTCTATAATTAGCTTTGTAATGGCTACAGACTGTTCTATTGAAGAGATGTGTTCAACTTACCAAACTCTTCACCTCCTGATGCACATTCAGGATATTCCTAGTTTTTAAAATATTTACCAAATTTCTATGGTTAATATATAGAGTTTTTAACAAAGATTCTTAACAGGAATTTCTAGATCAATGAGAATGAAAAATTTAAATTGTTTCGATAATTCTAAATTGCCCTCTAAAAAGAATGTACAGATTATATTCTCTACTACCCCACCTCCTTTGCCTGCATAAAACAATAGCTAATATTTCTTATTGTTTACAGTCACGCACCGCATAACATTTTGGTCAAGGATGGACACTATGTATGACAGTGGTCCCATAAGATTAGTACCAGAGAGCCTAGGTGAGTAGTAGGTTTGTGTAAGTACACTCTACGATGTTCACTCGACGACAAAATCACCCAACAATGGGCCCTGTTGTTAAGCGATGCATGACTATATTTTATTTGAGAATGATGCCAAACAAGATAATAGCATATCTCATCATTTAATCATTCTCAGATGCCTGTTGACTGAAAAAAAGTTTGGGTAGATACTAATGAAGGAGTTTATTCAATAATCAAAGTGAGGAACGCCGGCTCTTGGAAACTTCAGCAGAATGCTCTCGTGGAGCTGCTCCGAGGTGTACAGATCTTCATGCAGTTTACATACCTTTTCTCTTAGCAGTGTACGTGCAGACAGGCTTAGGGCTTATGCATCTAAGGATCAAATATGTCAAAAGGGAGAGGGTACATCTGATTTTTGTCTAGATTACACAGTGAAGTTAAGAATTTCTTGGTTACACATCAAACACGTTCTGGGATACCAACGTTATCTATGTGTGGACCGAGGCAAGGACTAGGGTCCTTAGTTTTCCTTCAGTCTCTAAGATGCGGCTGGGGATGTAGGCGCGAGTTACCGTTTATCTCTTCATGTGGCTGACTTCTCCAGCTGGCATCTTCAGTCATGAGGTGTGGGGTTGCAAAGTCATTTTGACACAGGCTCAAGATGGCCTGCACGGCTGCTTCACAGCACAGCAGGATTTTTATTACACTGACTTGAAGCCTATGTAGTTTGCTGGCAAGATTCAGCTGTTGGACCAGGGAGAGGGGTCCCAAAAGTTTGCTCATATGCCCTTTTTTCTTTTTAGAAATACTGTATATGTTTGAAGCCTCACCCGTCTTGCTTCACTACCAGAGGCAGCCACATTCCCAGGCCCCCGTGGGCATCATTTTCACAGAGCCCCGTCCTCACTCCAAGAGGCTAAACAGAATACAGCCCGGGCCGCGTCGGCCTTGGCTGGGCTCCGGCCGCTGAAAACTTACTCAGCTCAGTGCTGTCGATCAACAGCGAGGAGGGAAAGGCAAGGAGGTGCCCAAAGGCGATTTCAATTTCTTCTCATTGCGGTGAGTCGTAGCCGCCGGGGTCCGATCGCCGAGATGGGCGTGGCCGCGTGACGTCACAGAGCTGGCCGGCGGCCAGAACTCAAACTTTGATGAGGGCGCCGGGGTCCAAGTCGGATCAGAAGCGTCCCTAGGGACAGCCAGAGACGGGGCTTCGGGGTCACCGCACCCGAATGCGAATCGTTTTGGAAATGAATTCAGCCGTTGGTAGCTGCCAGTGGAGACTTGAGACGCTCAGCATCCGATGGGTCGAGGTCTGTGCGTGGCTGCGGAGGGAGGGGCCTGTGAGGCCACTGAAGGGCGGTTCTGGGAGTTTCTTTGGGTTCAGTCTCTGGGGAGTCTTGGCTTGGATAATCTGCCGTTTGGCGGTCAGTATTAAGCACGTGAAGAGATTAACGACTGAGGGTCCGACTGTCGGCATTTGTTGTTGGTGTGGGTGATTCTGCTTGTGGGGTCAGTAATTAACAACTGGAGGGGTAGATGGGTATCGGTAAACGCAGTGTCTTGTTCGGGTTCGCGACTCACTGTGGGGCTCAGACATGGAGAAGCCTGAGGAATAGGGTGTTAATGAACAAGTTTTCCTAGTGCAGATTTTTTTTTTAGTGAGGAAGATTGGCCCTGAACTATCTGTTGCCAATATTCCTCTTTTTTTTCCTCCCCAAAGCCCCAATGCATCTCCCAGTTGTAGGGCATTCTAGTTCTACGTGGGACGAACCCACAGCATGGCTTCATGAGCCGTGTGTAGGTTCTCACCAAGGATCCAAATTGGCAAACCCTGGGTTGCTGAAGCAGAGGGCATGAACTTAACCACTTGCCCTGGGCCGGTCCCTCTAGTGCAGATTTCGCATTTAACTTGAAGTCTTTTTTTTTATTTTATTTGTTTTAGGGGGAGGCCAGTGTATGTCTGTGGAGAGGCATGAGGCTGAAGGTTTGGAGAACGTGTGTCCCTGGAGAGTAGGTAGGTTGCGTCTCAGATCTTGACTGCTGGAAACAGACGATGATACTTTCATCCAGCTGATCCGAATTCACTTCACTCCTTCAAGCCCGTGTCTTCCTCAAGGTACTAATTAAAAACACTTGTCACATACAGTCTAGTCATTATCTTCTTAAAGTAGATAGCTATGCTGCTGTATGACTGCAGGCCCTGGCTTTTTGATGGCCGTCAGCTGGTAGGCCAACCTCAGGTCCTGGAGGCCTCCTATATTCCTCCTCACATGGCTTCTAAAGTCTATGGTCTATGTTATAAAACATGTGTTTTGTTTTTCTTGCCTCCAGGTTGACTCCATGTTTTCTTGGCTATTTCAATACTTTTGTGTTTATTCTGCAGAAGTAAAAACATCTCCATTGCCCTAAGCTCTGATCAGTGAAAACCATTGCATGTGTGTGTGTGTTTTAAATCTTTTTGTGCTACTTTCTTATTTGGAGTGATCTGTATAACATAGGTATCAGTTGATTTTATCACTTAATTTCTAATTATAAATATATGTCCATGGTATAAAATGATTACACATTTCCTTAATGGCGGCAATAGTGTCACATCAGGTGCGTGAACTAGTGACAAGGTGACTAGAGTCACATTAAATGTGTACATTAATTCGGATAACTTGACATATATTCAGATATAGTTTTTTGCAACACCTTGGGATTCTCTGCTTATTCGGGTTTTCCCACCCAAGGCCAGGATTTGTTGTGTCTTTTCGTGTATGTCTCAGACATTTCTGGTTATACTTATTCGTAGGTAGTTTATACTTCTTTGCAATTATAAGTAGTGCCTTTTAGAAAAATTCCCTACTTCTAAACTTTGCACTCTAATGGAGCAATTGAATTGCTCTTGGTATTACTGAAAGTGAAAGTTTCAGTGGATTTCTTTACATTTTCTAGGTGAGCAGTTTTAGTATCTGCCAATAATTTTGGCTCAAGAGTGAGTGGCATGAACAAAGCTGTCTTTTTAAGTGTTTTCCCCCCTCAGCCATGTGCTTTGAACAAGTCTTTCCAGGGGATGTTGTGAAATTAAGAGAACTAATATGTCTCAACATGTATAGCATCTACCAGGATACAAATTTCTATGAACTGCTTTATCTGCCTCTCACTAGTTTTGCTATTTAAAATTTTGTATATTATTCAGTGTATTAGTTTTCTATTGCTGTGTGATAAATTACCACAAAGTTAGTGGTTTAGAACGGCACACATTTGTCATTTCACAGTTTGTATAGGTCAGAGGTCCAGGCGCATTTCACCAGGGACTTCTGCTTTCAGTGTCACAAGGCTGTAATCGTGATGTCAGCCAGAATGCGTTCTCATTTGGAGGCTCAGCTGGGGAAGAATTTGCTTCCAAAGTCACTCAGGTTGTTGGGAGAGTTCCTTGCTGCTGTATGACTGCAGGCCCTGGCTTTTTGATGGCCGTCAGCTGGTAGGCCAACCTCAGGTCCTGGAGGCCTCCTATATTCCTCCTCACATGGCCACCTCTGTGGGCAGTTCAGAACATAGCTGTTTGCTTCTGCGAGACCAGCAAGACAGAATCACATTCCAGTCTCTAAGACACGGTCTTCTATAATGTAACATAATCATGGGAGTGATGTCACATCACCTTTGGTGTATTCTGTTGGCTAGAAGGAAGTCACAAATCCCACCCACACTCAAGGGGAGAGGATTATACAGGTGTGACAACTGGAAACCAGAAATCATGGGGCCATCTTAAAATTCTGCCTACATGTTAAGTTTAAAGTGTTTTCTAATTTCCACTTTCTTCGACTCGTATGAGTTTAATAATTTTCAAATATATGAGGATTTTTCAGTTTTGTTTCTGTTATTGATTTTTAGCTTAATTGCATGACATTTGGAGCACATGCTTTGTATTATTTCAGTCCTTTGAAATGAATGGAGACTTGTCTTCTGACCAAATGTATGACTGACTTTTGTAAAAGTTTCATATGTACTAGAAAAGTGTGTGTGTGTATCTTCTTGAGTGCCGGCTCTGCTCATGACCCTTAAGTCATGTTTGCTCTTCACATTGCTAACATTCTTCATCCTTCTTAATTTTTGGTCTGCTTTTAGTCTTTCAGTGAGGAAGAGAGATATATTAAAGTTTCTTACCTAAATGTGAGTTTTCAATTTCTCCTTCTAGTTTTGTTGATTTTTGTTTTATATATTTTAAATTCATGTGGTTAATTGTTAGATGGTCCTGGTGAGAACATTTTAGCATTAAGAAATACTCCTCTATTCTATTAATTATTTTTTCTCTTGAAGTCCTCTCTGTCCGTTAATGTTTTCATATTATATCTTTTACAATCCTTTCAATCTTTCTTTATTCTTATGTATTAGATGTAGAAATGTTGAGAGGTTAAAAATGGTTTTATCTTCCCACAGAGATTTTTTTCCTCTGCTTCTCCCAGGTGCTAATGGTTCCTAGCAATCCAAATTCATATTTCTTTAAGGGGTTGAGAATTTTCTGGCTCACTCACTAATTTGAGATTGCACTACAGTCCACCTTTATTTTTAGGGCACTGTCTTCAGGATCTCAAGTCAAAGAGCCAGAGTTTCCAGGGCCCCTGAGCTTGGTAGATCCTGGACTCTTAGCTTGTGTTCCTCTAACCCTGTTTTGGTGTCACAAGCACAGCCCAGTATCTAAACCACCTCCTCTGTTATTGACAGGGACCCTGTGGGGAAAGTGACCCCAAGTGGAAGAGTCACTTCTCTGCATTTGAGTTTTTCCCAGATCTCAGCCCCGTACTTTCAAAGGTGAATACTTGGTTCATTTATTTTTAATATCACTTCTAATAAATATTTAAGAGCTAAATTTCCTTCCAATACTCCAGTTTAACATAGGTTTACATATATTGTGCTTTCCTTGCCATTTAATACTAAATAATTCAGAGTTTTCATTTATATTGCCTTTTTAATTTGAAGGTTTTTAATGTGATTTTTTTTCTAGGTATGCAGGTTTTTGTTTCTGTTCCAATTAATTTGTTGAGTTTCTCATTCCTGTTGATTTCTAGTTCTGGTGCATTGTGGTCAAGGAGTAAGCTTCTTTGATATTAATTTTTGAAATTTGTGAAAATGTCTTTCTATGGCCTACTTTGCTCTATAAAGATTTACATTTTTATGTTTGCATGTGTGTATATTCTGGAAAGGCAGATGCCCTTTCTAGGGCAACAGGAGTTTTTCCATTAAAGTGAATGTGCATAATGCCAAGAAATCATCAGGAAATTCTGCCCATTGCTTGTAGGAGGGACATGAGGGCTCATGGATAGGGAGCACTGAAATTTGGATATGGCCAAGATGTTGCATCCCTGTCATCCTTCCCATGAATAATCCTTAAATAATTGTATAGTTACAGTTTTATAGTCTTTAATAATCCTATCAATAGTTTTACACCTTTTTTCTTGGTTTGGCGCTATAAGGAGGCAGATCTGATAGCCCTGGTGCTTAGAGGAAAGTGATTCTAGGTTGGAGATCAAGGGGGAATACATGTACCCAGAAATCAAAGAACAGTTGCTGCAGAGTTCTATGGGTTTGAGGATTTAGAAAAGATATGGCCAGAAGGAGTGGAAGCAAAAACTCAAGGTAATTCGGCAGAGTTAATGACCTTATCATGTGAGCCTTTCTGACTCCTTGTTTTTCTTTGATTTTCTGCTTTGGAGTGAGTGTTGGGGCATGCTCCTTTTCCATTTCTCTGTTTGTGGAAGAAGGTTGCTCCGTGTGTGCACGCGCACACACACACACGTGCATTGAGTTCTAGGGGCTGTTTCCAGAACTCCCGTTATTCACTATGGCTGTATACTACCTTCTGGTGTGATATTGTGGATAGTAAACTTTTCAGGCAGTTCTACAGAGGACTGAACGTTGATTGTGATGTTATCTGGTTAAGAAAGTACAATAGTGGTTAAAGTGGTGAGCTTTGGAGAGAAAAAGGCCTTGGTTTGAATTTCAGCTCTGCCTCTTAGAAAGTGTGTGGCTCTGGACAGGATACTTTATCTCCAGGTGTTAAGTCTTGACTTTCCATTGTTTAAAAATGGGTCTAGTGATTTGGTAGTTCTAGGTTGGTGGTGAGGGTTAAATAAGAAAATGCTTACGAAAAGTGATTTATTTAGCATGTTAATCTTCGTACTGTTTGCACTGCCTTGAGATCTAAACATTGCGGTTTTCTAAAGGAAACTTTTAAGTATTGGGGTTTTATGTTAGAGGACACCTATATTGGTTTTCTATTGGTTCTGTAATAAATTAACATAAACTTAATGGCCTAAAACATCACCAGCTTATTATATTACAGTTCCACAGAGTAGAAGTTCAACATGGGTCTCACTGGGCTAAAATCAAGGTATCTGCGGGAGTGTCCTCTTTTCTGGGTGTTCCAGAGGAAAGTCTGTTTCTTTGCCTTTTCGGGCTTCTAGAGGCCATCCGCACTTCTAAGCTGCAGGCTCCCTTTCCCCCCGTCTTCAAAGCCAGCAATGGTGTGTGGCGTTCTTGTCACATCCCAACTCTCTGGTATCTTCTGCCTCCGTTTTCTGGTTGTAAGGACCCTGCGATTACCTTGGGTCCACCTGAATAATCCAGGAAATCTCCCTGTTTTTAGGTCAGCTGATGAACAGCTGTCATTTCATCAGCAATCTTAATTCCCCTTTCTGTGTGATGTAACATACTCACAGGCTCCTGGGATTAGAATGTGGGTATCTTTGATTCTGCCTACCACAGCCCCTATAGCAACACTGACAAAATGTGTGGCCCAAAGGAATGTACCACTTAAAGTGAATTTGCTTTTGAGTCCTTAGAGTCAAATGAAGTAAGGAGAAGATAGTTCCAGGACCAGGAGAGCATCATTTTTGGGGATACTGTTAACTTGAATTGTAAGATCTATGACCAGAATTTCAGCGACAATCTAGAAGGGTAAAATCACAGAGATCCCAGTTACTGGCCGTTTTCTCAGAATGGAATAAAATGACCAAGGTCCAGGTGAGTTTTACATATTTAATTATCCCCCCTCTCTTTTATGATGTGTTGATGGAGCCTTATAAAAATGGATTTGATTAATTGGAAAAGTACACATTGATAAAGGCCTGAATCTGGAGAAAAATAAATCAACCATAAAGTCAATATCAGGGCATACTTGGAATGGTGGAAAGGCAGGTCATAGAATCTGCTTAGAATTTTAAAAGTCAGAATACTAATACAAAACTGGAAGACCTGATGGGTTATTTATATTGAGCTACCAGATTATCTCCAACATTTTTGGCAGGCAGTTCCAGCAGGAGAAACACAAAATGTTAAATGATTTGCATTTTTGTACAGAGAAAGTGAATCATTTCCCTGGGAAAGTAAGATTGGCACTGAGCTAACATCTGTTGCCAATCTTCCTCTTCTTTTTTTTCCCTCCCCAAAGCCCCAGGACACAGTTGTAGATCTAAGTTGTAGGTCATTCTAGTTCTATGTGGGATGCCGCCTCTGCATGGCTTGATGAGTGGTGTGTAGGTCAGCGCCCAGGATCTGAACCAGTGAATCCCACCTGGACCAGTGAATCCCAGGCCACCGAAGTGGAGTGCACAAACTTAACCACTCAGCCATGGGGCCAGCCCCTAATACATTTCTTGATGGCCCTTCCTACAGTGGGCAGTGGCTTCAATAGCAGCTTTCTGGTGTATGTAAGAAGAGGTTTCCTGTAGCTGTTTCTCTATTTCCCATATGTGTGTGTGTGTGTGTGTGCAGTATGTTCATACTTTCTTATTGGGGCATAACATACATATAGTATGTGAATTTTTATAGATTTGTACACCCGTGTAATTACCATGCATGCCAAGATCAACATTTATTGAACCTAAGTTGTTTCTTTTTTAAAAAATTTTATTGGGGTCATATTGGCTTCAAGATTGTGTAAATTTCAGGTGTACATCACTATATTTGAGTTTCTGTGTAGACTGCGTTGTATTTACCACAAAAAGTCCAGTTATTTTTGAAGAAGATTAGCCCTGAGCTAACATCTGTGCCCATCCTCTATTTTATGTGGGACGCCTGCCACAGCATGGCTTGACAAGCAGTGTGTAGGTCTGCACCTGGGATCTGAACCGCCAAACCCAGGGCCGCTGAAGCAGAACGTGTGAACTTAACCGCTGCGCCACCAGGCCAGTCCCCCAAAAGTCCAGTTTTTATCTGTCACCATACATATGTGCCCCTTTACCCCTTTCACCTTTCCCCATCCCCTTCCCTTTTGGTAACCACCAATCTGTTCATATTGTGTTTGTCTTTCTCTGTGTGACTTACTGTGCTGAGCGTAACACTATGGTTATTGCTATAGAGTTTCTTCAATACCCTTCTGGTATTGTGGCTTTTTTTCAGATGTAAAACCTAAGTTAGGGACAAATGGATGGTTTCAATGACCTCTCAGACCATTTTGCTGAATTGGATTTTGAGTACACACCTACCAGTAGAGTTTAAAGTCACATTCTCTGCTAAAGACTCGGGATGTAGGGACCCGCGATATCTTTTTAACTGCATCCTGGTCTTAGGTAATGTAGTATTCTTCCCAAATTATCCAAAGTCAATTTTTGTCTGCCTTCCTGTATTAGTTTCCTGTGGGCACCATAATAAATTACCACAAACTAGGTGGTTACAACAACAGCAATGTATTCCCCTCACAGTTCTGAAGCCCAGCGGTCTGAAATCTAGTTGTCAGTAGGGCTGTGCTCCCTGCAGAGCTGTAGGGGAAATTCCCTCCCTTGCCTCTTCCAGCTTCTGGTGGCCGTCTGCATCCTTTAGCTTGTGGCCCCATCACTCCAGTCTTTGCCTCTGTCTTCACGTTACCTTCTCTGCTTCTGTTTATCTATCTCCTTTTGCCTGTCTCTTATAAGAATACTTGTCATTGGATTTAGGGCCTGCCCAGACTATCCAGGATTATTGTCTCATTTTAAGATCCTTAACTTAATTACATCTGCAAAGACGCTTTATCCAAATGAGGTATCAATCACAGATTCTGGGGATCAGGAAGAGGACATATCTTTTAGGGGGCCACCATTCTAACCTACTACATTCTCTTTTTCTCATCTTTTGTTGTTAAATGAGTAATATACAAATAATTTGTTTGTGAAATATACAGAACAATATGGAAATGAATAGAACAAATAAAGTTGCCCTTTCAAATCCTTCTCTACTCATTGCTTAAGAGAGAAAATAATTCTTAATGGTTTACTCTGTTTTTAGTAACATCTATATTCACATATGTACATGTACACATTTATGTACATATACACACATATTTATTGTGAAAATCTTTTTCCATTACTGAGATCATAGTAAACAGATTGTTACTTGGTTTATTCCAATAGTAACCTGTCCTGGAGAGCTTTCCATTCAAATATATATGGATCTACCTTATCGCATTTAAGGATTGCGTGATATTTTCTAGCATGGATATGCCTTAATTATGTACTCTGTTCATGTAAAAGTATATTTTAATGGTTCACATTTCTTTTTTACTATTGTAAACAATGAAGCCATAAAATTTCTTTAAAACACATCATTCTGGATATATGTTAAAGCTTTTTAAGTTAGATTCTTAAAGGTAAAATCTATGAGTCAAATGGTACCTGGAGTTAAATTTTTTGTGGTTGCTCCAAAATTGCCATTCTAAAAGTCTTCAACACTCCTTCACAGAGTTTATGAAAGTCCCTGTTTTTCCCACATCCTTGCCATTATTTAATATCATAGTTTTTAAATCTCACAAATCTGAGAAATAAAAGCAATGCCATTCTTTAAGGTTATAGAGTCTAGTGTTTCATTTAAGAGCACAAACTCTCTCGCCAGGTTTACTCATTCATATTTTGCACTGGTCTTTAATTACTTTCTGTGATCTTATTCTGATTATTTAATCTCTCTGCAGGCCTGTCCTTATCTGAAAAATGGGAACTATAATGGAATTGATGTGAAAGGATTATTGTGAAGATTAATATATATCAGAGTTTTTCAACCTCAACACTGTTGACTTTTTTGACTAAATAATTCTTTGTTGTGGGATGGGTGTCCTGTGCATCATAGAATGTCTAGCAATGTCTCTGGCCACTACTCGTTAGATTTCAGTAGCTTCCCCCTCCCCCAGTTATGACAACCTAAAATGTCTACAGACATTGCCATGTGTCCACTGTTCCAAAATAATCACCCCTAGTTGAGAACCACTGATATATGTATATACTTACATAAGATATATCTATCTTAGAACACTGCACGTCATTTAATAAGTGCTATCAGAATTAGTTTTACTATTATTGTTACTTGCATTATTACTGGTGATTTTGAACATATTTTAATGTATTTATTAGCCATTTGTATTCTGTGAATTGCCCAATCAAATCCTTTGTGCCGATTTTGTTTTTTTTTTTCCTGATCTCTAGGAAAAAAATAGTGTCAGGGATATTAATCTTCATCTTTGTTTTGCAAGACATTTTCTACTTGGTTATTGTCAGTGTCATTTTGCATGTTGATCTTTATCCAGACCCAACATATTTCCAAAGATAGACCATGTTTCTGAGCCATAAAACAAATCTCAAGAAATGTAAAAGGATTCAGATCTACCAGCTTGATAATTGGCTTTCTATTTTTCCAAGCTATTCTTCGTTTCCTTTTTTCCCTTCTTCTGCCTTCTTTTGTATTAATTAATTTGATTACCTTTTATCTTCATCATTGGCCTATTAACTATACGTTTGTTTTCTTTTGTGGTTGATAGACTGTGATGTTAACTATACACCTTATATCTTCAAGTAATATTCTATCGCGTCATTCATATTATAAGAACCTTACAACAGCGTGCTTCCATTTCTTCTGTCCCAGCCTTTGTGCTATTGTTGTCATATATTTTACTTCTTTTTATTTTAGAAATCCCGCAATACATTTTTATTATTGCTTTAAACAATCAATTACCTTCTAAAGGTATATAGAAAGATAAACATTTTATATTTACTCACGTTTTTCATTTCTGCAGCCTTTCATTTGAGTAGGTCTAGATTTCCCTTTGAAGGACGTCCTTTAATGTTTTTGCTAGTACATGCCTGCTGCTGATGAATTCCTTTAACTTTTGCACATCTGAAGAAGATTCTATTTTGACTTCATTTTTGAAAGGTATTTTCACTGGGTATGGAATTCTAGGTTGGCACTTTTCTTCTTTCAATACTGTAAAGATGTTTTTCCACTGCCTTCTGATTTGTATCGCTTACAGGAAAAGTCTGCAGTCATCCGATTTGTTCTTGTGTATGTAGTAAATTTATTTTCTCTGGCTGTTTAAAAATTTTCCTCTTTTTTCAGTTTCCTATTGAATAGTTCCTATTGCTATATCTTCAAGTTCACTAATCTTTTCTTCTTCAGTGTCTAATCTGCTGTTAATCACATCCAGTGAGTATATTGCTCATCTTAGACTTCTTTTTCATTTCTAGAGTTGGAATTGGGTCTATTTTATACCTTCCATATTACTCCTTATCTTGTCTTGCTTTCCTCTACCTTCTTAAATGTATGTATGTATAACATTTGTTTTAATATTCTTGTCTATTAATTCTAGTATATCTGTCATTTCTGGTTTTGTTTCTTTTGATCCTTGCTCTTCATATGGGTCATATTTTCTCTCTTTTCATATCTAGTAATTTTTGATTGGGTACCAGGCCTTATAACTTTTTTATTATTGAGTAATGGCCTTTTTTAAATTCCTTCAAATATTTTGGAGTTTTGTTTTTGAATGCAATATAATTTGCTGTACCAACATTTCTCAGTAGGAGGGTATGGGTACTACTGGCATTTTGAGCTTGACAATTCTTCCTGTTGTGACTGTTATGTGCTTTACAGGATATATAGCATTCTTGGTCCACGACTATTAAATACCATAGGGCCCCAGTCAGTGTGACAATCTGAAATATCCTCACAAATTTCCATATCCTCCTTGATAGACCACCTAAAGTCTGAATTCCTACTTGTTTATTTTTTCTTTTGTTTCCCTTGTCCGTGTAGACATTGTATTCAAAAAGATCCGTCTAAGACCGATGTCAGTATACTGCTGATGTTTTCTTCTAGTTTTATGGTTTCATGTCTTACTTTCAAGTCTTTAATCTATTTTGAGTTAATTTTTGTGTATGTCTCTGGCCTAATTTTATTTTTTAAAATTATTTTATTATTTTCCTTTAAGATTGGCACCTTAGCTAATGACCGTTGCCAATCTATCTTGTTTTTTTCCCCTCCTTCTTCTCCCCAAAGCCCCCCAGTACATAGTTGTATATTCTAGTTGTGAGTGCCTCTGGCTGTGCTATGTGGGATGCCGCCTCATCATGGCTTGATGAGCAGTGCCATGTCTGTGCCCAAGATCTGAACTGGAGAAACCCTGGGCCACTGAAACAGAGTGCACAAACTTAACCACTTGGCCATGGGGCAGCCCCCCTGGCCTAATTTTAAAATCTACATGGATGATCCTATTTCTTGTTTTTATTTGAGAATAATTTCAGCTACATAGAAACTCTCCTGAAGAGATTCTATCTAGTCATTTCTCTCTAGGTAATATTTTTATACAGATGACCCCCAAATTTGTCCTCTTGATCAACACTTTGGCTTTTTATACAGTTGAAAACTTCCACTGAGAGAACCCTAATAAATGTGATAATGGAAAGATATACCTCATTAAATATTGGTGGCTCTTAGTAGGTTGAATTGTGGTGAGCTTGACTTCAAAATCATCAATAAGTTCACATAGGAAATAAATTTTAGGAAGGCAGTTAAGTCAGGTCCCTAAGACCACCCTCACATTTGTTTATTCTCTAAAAGGACTCATAAAACTCATAAAAGCTGCTATACTTATGGTTACAGTTTATTATAGTGAAAAGCTATAGGTTGAAATTAGCAAATGTAAAGGGTGCATAGGACAGCGTCCAGAAGAAAATGGCGCATACTTCCAGTTTCCCTTTCTCAGTGGGCTTGTATAGACAGTGCTTAATTCTTCCAGCAATCATGTGACAACACATATGGAGTACTGGCAGCCAGGGAAGCTCACCTGAGCCTTTTTGCCCAGGGTTTTTACTGGGGGTTAGTTATGTGGGCCTGGAGTAACCACATGACTCAACTGAACTTCTGACACTCCAGCCTCCTAAAGGTCAGAGTGATACAGCACGGCCCAGAGCCCCAGGCAGACGAAAGCAGGTGTTCACCAAGAGTCGCATTGCTACCTTAAACTATATGGCATGGCCCCAACCCCAGGTATACAAAAATGCTCTTATAAGAGGCTAGAGGTTACCTCCCAGGTACCAGACAAGGGTCAGTCCTTTCTTTGGAACGTGCAGGGTTTGAATACCCCAAACCTGGTAAGTCAACCCTTTATTACACAGCAGTGAATAAAGCAAGGTTTTCAGCAACATTCTGCCTCATAATTTTTCAGAAATAAGAAATGTGTATGGGTACACTAAATGCCAAAGCTGGCATGGCATAGTTTCTCTGACAAGCATACCCTGGGAGATAGTGATGATGAGAGCTGAGCATTAGGCTGGTTTTACAGTAGCCATGGGGGCGACTTCTTTGGTCATCATGGTAGTGCATGCATTTTGGGTTTACCTTGACCTTTTCCATACATTGTACTAAAGCATCCACTTAAGTTTTTTCATTTGTACCAGTCCTTCAAATTTGTACTCAGAAAAAAAAAGATGGAAAGATCCAAAGTTATACTAGGATACTAACACCATTGACAATATGCAATCTTGTGGGAAGAGGGCCCTGGGTGATAAGAAAAATCTCACAAATGTCACCCTATTTTTTATGTAGGAGTAATTAGGTTACAAATCACTGCTCCCCAGTCATTCATTTGAAACTTTGTGCTTGCTTGAAGAGGACAAATGACTGATGCAAGTTCCTCAGGAGCCTGGAGGAGGAACCCCCATGGAACTTTGTTTCCAGTCTCTGAGGAGAGCACATGGCTGGCTGATGGTAGAATCCTTGAGGGTGTGTGATGAAGATGATTCTGAGACTGTGGGCAGAAACTGAAAACTGCAGCCAAATGTTTCCTTTGCAGCAAGAAGAGAAAGACAGGAAAAAGCAAGTCCCTTCTCCATATTCCTTCTGCCTGCCCATTCTCTCTAGTGCTCCATATTGGGAAAACCTAACATGAAGGCAGCCAGCAAAAGATAATGTGGTTTGCAATACCAGCCCCAGAATTACAAAGCAGACAATGGAAGAGTAGGTTGAGACATGGGAGACAATAGCTGTAATAACTAGCACAGCAACCTTCTTTAATTGTGAGTAGCTATGATGCGTGCCTCCCCCAATTTACAAATATTACAGTCTACTTATAGATGAGTGCAGAATGAAAATATATTTGTGAATAGGATGATGCTTATTCAAACAATCCTTGAATATTTGTTGTGTATAAGAAAATATGTTAGTAAAGTTATTAGTCATGATGTGTGTGTGTGTGTGTGTGTTCTTCAGTAACTTTAATGGGACATATGACACGAAACATCACTATGGTTTATGACCCTAGAATCTACCACTCTAACCGTTTTTGTATGTTTTTATGTAGTCTAAATAGCATCATGTGTTATTTTAGGGACAAATATACAGTCTAAAATCATGTGAATAAGTGGTATTTCAGATCACTGGGGAAAGGGAAGATCCTTAAGGGGTGCTGGGATTATTGATTATTGATCTGGAAAAAAAATTAGATCCCTACCTCATGTCATATATCAGGATCCATTCTCAATAGATCAAAGACCTAAATTTGAAAGGTAAAACTTAAAGATCACAATTTTGGGGAGATGACTGGATTCTGATCATTTCAAAAGGCCTCTTCTCACTGGCTTCCAACCCTGACTTCCTCATATTTCCAGTAATTGACCCGTGGAAGTGCCCCAGTAACTGACCACAAGGACTTTCCCTTCACTGGCCTCCACGGATCATTCTTGACTGATCCTCAAAAGCCTGCCGATCCTAGACTACCAGGGACCTCCATCCCATTGATTCCTCAAACCTTCCCATCTACTGACCTACAGCCAGCCACCCTGATGGGTGAATATAACAGGAATTTCAATCCTCAGGCCGGCAATTGCTGTCCCTTTGTTTTCTCAGTCTCCTCACTGGTGAGCTGGAGGTGAGTGTAGATAAGAGATGCACTAACCTAGCAGCAGGTGAGAGGTTGGGTAGTAGTGGTGTGAAGGCATGGAGGGAGGAGTCAGCATGAGAGGGTACCTGGCTGGATTCTGAAGAAGGGGTAGGATCACCAGGTTAAGGTGCTTCCTAGCCCAGGGCTGCAGTCTATCAGTGGCTGAGGAAATTAAATCAGCTTCTTGTCAGGAAACTGCCCACAGGCAAGCAGGAGGCTCTTAGCTGAAGTGTCATTTTCATTTTTGTCTCATTGTGTGATGTAGGCAAGTCCCTTACCTCTTTGAACCTTGCTTTCATGGGCGGTGTAAACAAAGGGAACAGGCTTGTCTTAGGGTGCCTGTTAGTTTGATATGTGGGCATCACAGGATGAAACACAGCGTCAATAAAAATTATCTGGAACACAAGAATTTAGTTAGGAAAGCTTTGTTGCTCATACAGTTTGCAAACTGGGGAGACACAGCCTTCTGAACAAATTGAAAGTTCGCTCCAAGGACGGGAAGGCACAGTGAGGGTTTAAAGACTAAAACCGCAGAGGCCACAGGAATGTTTTAGCAGTTCCTCGCTTAGCCTGTCCTCACATAAAAACCAGCGTCTTCTGCTGATTGGGTGCTGGGTTAGGGTGAGGCTATACTGAGCTTGGTGACCTAGATACAGAAGGAAACACCTGGTTTTGGGTGCAACTTGAGGTTTTTCTGAGAACAGAGTATGTGACTGCACCTCCATCCTGGTATGGCTGCTTGACTGTGTTTTGTTTTAGGTCCCAGTTAGCCACACAGAGTCCATTTTGTCTTTCTCTTTTAGGGGGTCCTCTGTCTCTTGTTTTAATTCCACCATAGGAAAAACATCTCCCAACTTCCATTCTTCCTCTTAGGGCTTCTGATGTCACTGTTTCCCAATTTTGTAGGCAGGAAAGCCCTGCCTCTGCCACAGGCCCCGCCCATGTAGATGGGAAGGCCCCGCCTCCACATTGACTTGGTCCCTCCCACAGTCCCAGGGGCATTCCTGTTTCCTCATCTTTCTTGGCCCACTTCCCACCACTACCTCTACACAGCCCATGCCACCTCACTTCTCCCATTCCGCACCTCTGTACCGCCTGGGCTCTTCCAAAGCCGGTACAATTCACTAAAGCTTTCTCTAGCCAAAAACATTCCTGAGGTCCTTTCTGATGAGGATCAATGCTCATTGGGAGAGAAGTCCGAGGTGTCCTGCCCTACATACTGGTCTATATCATCCTCCGGGAAGCATAGGACGTCCTGACCTGATCCAACCTGATTCCTAACCAAAGTTATAGGACCACCCAATAACAAGACCCCAGCTGCACTGATACCATTTTAATGACTTTTTAACATGGTCTTTCCTTTGTCTTGTAAATAAATAACTCACATACCTGTGCCTTACAAATTTAGCCCTAACCTTCAACCCATTGCAGCTCTTTGCTGCCCATGGGTCCTGTCCCCATGCTACTCCATGCTATTCTCTGAATAAAAGAGCACTACTGCGAGACCTTAAAAGTCCAAGAAACCTTTCTTTCAACTCCTTGGCTTGCCAAGCCCGCATCACTTCCCTTGATGGTGCTTCTCTCCGCCAAGGATTAAAGTTCTCAGCTGTATGGACACTTACACCTCCTTCAAGATGGCGGTGCCCATAGGCAACGAGAGACTCTGTGGAGGCAGGCCTCTTAAGTCTTGGTCCCCTGTGCTGACAGGAAAGGGATGGCCCTATGTTCTTGGAGTTGGCACATATGCCACGCTATCGATGGCAGTTAGGGAAATGGCGGCTTCACAGCTGAGCTATCCAGAGGAAGAGGCTACCTTCTTTGTATGTACATCTTCAAAAATGGCTACTCCACAGGTGCCAGCATGTTTCCTCCTTTAAGGGCCTCAAAAGTTCAGAATCCGAGTTCCTGGAGGTTCATCATGTGATCCGCAGCATCTTCTGCTCAAAGGTGTTACCGAGTGTGCCCAGCAGGGGGGGGGGGGGGGGGGGGGGGGGGTTGCCTAGGTGACCAACTTCAGGGAAGTACTCTGTGGAAGTCTGTTGGTCAAGTGAGGTGATGAGAGGACCTGGAGGGAGGGGAGTCTTCTGTGGGGTTCCTTGTTGTGTATCAGTGATGAGAGTCTGTGGAGGTCAGTGATATGGGTCTTGGGGGTGAATGAAAGAGGTGTGTTGTGTTGATTGGTGGTTTGTGTAGTCAATAGTTGGGGTGTCTGTGGAGATTAGTGGTCAGGGGAATCTGTGAAGTTAATCGGGCAAATCTATAATTCAGTGATGGAGAGATTGTGGAGTCAGTGGTGGCATGGTGAACCTGTGTATTCAAAATGGTGTAAGAAAGTTTCACATATTGAGGTATATGGGGAAGGTATTCTGGTTTAAACCTGGTTTGGCCTGAATTGTATGTGGTGAACTAAAGAAGCCTGCCTTATGGCCTGTCAAATATACATTGTACTTCTGCTTTTTAAATGTATTTATTTTTTATTGCTGCAATTTTGATTTATAACATTATATAAATTTCAGGTGTACATAAAGCGTTTTTTTTGTTTGTTTGTTTTTATAGATTGGCACCTGAGCTAACATCTGTGGTCAACCTTCTTCTTTTGTTTTCTTCTTCTCCCCAAAGCCCCCCAGTGCATAGTTGTATATTGTAGTTGTAGGTCCTTCTGATTGCGCTATGTGGGACACCACCTCTGCATGGCCTGATGAGCAGTGCCATGTCTGCCCAGGATCCGAACTGGCGAAACCCTGAGCCACCGAAGCGGAGTGCATGAACTTAACCACTTGGCCATGGGGCTGGCCCGTGAGCTAACATCTGTGCCAATCTTCCTCTGCTTTTTGTGTGTGGGACACTGCCAAAGCATGGCTTGGTGAGCAATGCGTAGGTCTGCACCTAGGATCCAAACTCATGAACCCCAGGCCACTGAAGCGGAGTGCATGAACTTAACCACTACACCACCGGGCGTCCCTTGTACATCAGCTTTAATTATAAAAGTAAAGAATGCATTAAACATTATCCCAAAGTAAAGAGTGCACTCTTTGAAGATGCGGATGAATGCCTTCCTTCCTATCTTGCCAAAACCAGTACTCCTTTGAAGATCGGTTTCACTTCCCAGACGTCAGGGTCGCGTTGACTTGTTGCATATGTGCTAATCTGTAATTAAGTGATTAAGTAATTTGAAGCGTTGAGAAATATGTATCTTTGACATGTTTGATGTATATTCTTTGTTCTGAAAAGATATAAAAACTGTGCTGAAAACCCTGCTTCTCTGGAGTCCTTTGTTCCTTCGTGAGACTGCTAGTCCTCAGCTTGGCTCAAGTAAAACTCACCTTGTATTTTTTATCTATTGATTGGTTAGTGGTAATTTGTGTTGACAAAAACTAGGATCTTGGGAGAACAATAATGAAGGTTTGTGAGTTCACTGATTGGGAAGCCTGTGTGGTCATTGATAGGACTGTCCGGCTAGTAACTGGGGAGTCTTGGGATCAGTGATGGGAGAGTCTGTGGGGTATTTGTAACGTGGAGGTTTGTTGAAAGTGTCTGAAGTGCTTGTTAATTTTGGACTTCAGTTTTATAGGTCATAGATTCTTAATCACTTCTCTCAACCCAAACAGAATATACGTGCCCTCCTTCCCAAGTGAAAGGTCTGTATTTTGCCAGGGTGCAAGTTCGCAGCTCCTTTGGTGGAAGTCTCTCCTTTCTTCAGACACACTCCTCCCCCAAGCCCAAGAAATTAGATCCAAGTTCTCTGGTTTCTCCTTCACAGAGTATGAAGCTAACAAATGAGAAGCGCTCTTCAGGTCGCAGCAAGAACCATGGCTAGCAGAGGGAGAAATCTACAATCAACCACAGCCAGGTGAGTGAGTGAGAACCAGCCAGATGCAACAGAGTTGAAGTAAAATTCCAGCTAGTCGTTGAAGGGTTGACCCCTTTGAAATGTCTTGAGACCTGTCCTTAAATTTCTTAAATCTTTGGAGGTGATTCAGAACAGTGGATAAAATTTGTTCTCATATCTCTTAAGGGTGCATCCAGTTACAACTCTACCTCAGTGAGGTCTTTCTTTTGGTTATCTTTTAAAGATTTGTCTTCCTTATCTGTCCTGGATGTGATTCCTGTCTCACCTAGGACATTGATTTCTTGCTTGGTGTCTTTCTTTCCAGTACCCTCGGCTCACTTAACTCTTCCTCCTCTCCTTCTGCCACAGCTGAGCTCTTGCTCTCCGTCATCCTTAGGATAAACTTTCATTCCTTCCATGCCTCTGCCCAGGCTGATAACTTCATTCTCTCTCACCTGTATGGATGAGGGCAC